GTGCTAATAAAATTAAATTAATTTCTATTTAAGGCACAATAAGTATATTTTTCATCAACATTCAAGTATAATTTTCTTTTATCATATTCATCATATTCCTCTCTAGATTTTGGAATGGTTTGATTGGGTTTACCATCAATTTTAATAATTTTGATAGGCACATAAGGACCATATTCAATAACTTCACATATATTATAATCTATTGATTGAATGTATATCATCATTCTAATTTTTCAATAATTATAATGCGTGTCATCAAATAAAGGATGACGGTTAGTAGAATGCCCCTCAAAATTTTGAAGATTGTAGTTAGTCATTGCTCAAGATTGTAGAATCTTCATTCATTGATCAAATTTAATTAATTGAATTAATTGAATATTGGATCGGATTAAGTTTAAGAGACGGACCAAACCCACTTGGACTTTTTAATAGGTGACTAGAGTTTGAAAATTGATAATGCAATACAATTATATTTTTGCTAACAAAAGAAGAGACTCTGGTTCTCTCAATATTGATATTTGTGTGAATTTTCATTAGAGACTGGATAATTGAACGACGGTGGATTGCAAATTAGAACATTCTTCAAGGAATTCATCAAAAGTATAATTTTTAATCTCAATTTCTATCTAAACATAAAACAGATTATTGGTAGAAATTAAAATATGTTTTATTTTTCGCTGTGCATGATTCAAATAATTTCCCAACAATATGTACTAACACAAAGCAGTCCTGCATCTCCCCTCTCATTTATTTATATTAATTATAAAAATAGTCATCTTTCAATCACTTTCATATGTTCTCCATTTGTAGGAAATTCAAAATGTAGCCTCAACATACTCTCTCCATCTTCCTTCATCGCATTCTCTCTATATATTGGAATTTTCAATGTGTTAATGTTGTGTGAGGATGCTTAAGAATTTCGACACATATTATAATATTATAATAATTTATTTGGTTTCAAGAATATAGTGCAAAAATTTGAGGATTTAACTGTGAAAATGAGCAAAGATTATATATGTTTATTGCAGTTATAATGTTGTGTAGTTAATAAAAATTATAGTGGAAATATAATTACCCTATTATTTGGTATTCCATTTTTATTTAAACCTAGGTATCATTGGGATTCATACGTAACTACCAATTAAAACAATTTTCAAATAAGGGTAAATATAACATAAAATAAAATTTTATCAAATTATATAGTAACATTTTGTGTGCATTAATTTTATTGCATTAAATATATTATTTAGTTGTTAAGACGTGTAAAACAACCAAATGAAACACAAATTTAAATAAGGAATATGGATGTTAGTTTTTTAAACCGACTAATTCAACCGAGGGAAAAAAATTTACGCTATATTTTTATATTAGAAGTTGTTAATAAAAATTAATATAATATTAAAAGATTAATTTAGAAAATTATTGACAAATGGAAAAGAATGATTCTTTTTTTTTAGTTTCATCTTAAATAAATTGAATTAATGTTATTAATTAATTATTATCAAAACTAAAATTAAATGAAGGTATATTAGGTATATAGTTAAATATGTAAGGATAAATTGGGTATTCAAAAGTT